TTCAGAACCTGATATCATTTGGGTTACTTACAATGACCTACTTCGGAAACTGCATCCACTAGTTCCGGTGAGATCCCACCAGTGAGATTCGTACTCTAGCAATAAAAATCGGGAATATCGTAATGCTTTGAGACTGGCGCGCTAACCACTACGTGTGGGCATTTAAATCATGTGTGTGATATGACCCTTGACTTAATAGACTTGAAGTTTTTCTCGGAAAGATTCAAATCTTTTGTCTTAAAAGTGTATTTTCAAGGTATAGTGGGCCTTTACTCCATTTTAATATATTTGTAAACCAAAAAATATATATTTTATTGCACCTTCATGCACGCTTGCTTGATATTATTTATATACGGTTTTAGATTTTCTGTTTTTTTTTTTGTCCAGATTTTATTTACATATCAAAAGTATTGATATTGGAGCCTAGTCGTGTTTTTTGTTTTGCTAATTTTTTTCGTAGGCTGTTTTTCAAACTCTTTTTCCCTAGGGGTTAAAATGAAAAAGTGAGCAAGCTCACATACCCCACGCTCCCCCAAAACTCGAAGTGCTGAAATTCCCGGATAAAATACAGAAATCGGAATTTCCTGGGAAAATGCACATCTACACATTGTGTCCTGCAAAGTTTGACAAAATTCTGTGCAGCGGTTTATGAGGAGTTGCGCCAACAAACTCTTCATCTCTATATTCAAGGTGGCCAAACATCTAAGCTGAAAAGTGCCGAAATTCCCGGAAAAAATTAAGGAATCGAAATTTCCTGGTAATATGCATATCTCACATTGTGTCCTAAATAATGTTTGACCCAATTCTGTGCAGCGGTTTATGAGTTGCGCTGACCAAAAAAAAAAAAAGGACTGACTGACACACTGACTTACGGACGGGTCAAAAACAGTATATCTCACGCAACTTGTTGCGTTGGGAATAAAAATAAAGTTATCACCGTATCCAATGAGGTATGCTGAAGGAAACACAGAGGTAGCAAGAAAATATAGATATTCATTCTTATTGAGATTTATCTTGATTACAGTGTAGCTGCCCTTATATAATGTTTGTTTGTTGTTTAACGTCCCTCTCGAGCTCTAAATACTGTGTCACGCGTAGAGAAGTAGTGAACATTGACCTTGAAGCACCACGTTGTTCGGCTGTGTCTCTGCAATTTGTTGTTTATATTGTAAGTAAAAGTAACAATATCCTATCTTCTAGCGAAAGTCGGCCCATCTTCACAAAAAGCATCAGATCTATACTCATGAATATCTTTGACTTATTTTCTTTTACATCTTTAAAACCAGGCGACTGAAAAGGAGATGGATAATACGCTACCGATATCAAGAATCAAAGTAATTTTAGTCAATATTTTTTGTTTAAATCGTTCGTTTACAACGAAAAAAAATTGTCTGAAGAATACTAGATTGAATGTTCTATCGTTAAAATGATAAATGTCCTACGTACCCGGTTTAACGATAGAATTCGTTCCGTGTTCTCAATGTAGCAAAATAAACATGGGCGATAACTCGTAGTCAGTGTATTTACTACGGACAGTCCAGAGAGTTCCGAATGTAAACATGGCAGGTAAATTTGAAGCGAGAAAAACCGTTGAGAAAATTAGTTGAATTTTCGTCTTTTTATGGATTATTTTTTGGGATAAAAGGCATTGAAAATCTCAAAAAGGTTTGTTACAATTAATTTGGAAGTTATTTTCAATGCAAATCCTTTTGTATTTTTCAAAATCATTTCGGAGCGATTCTGCAATTATTTGCTACATTGCGAGTATATGGGACGTATTCTAACTGTGGTGAGGGCTTGTCCCGAGACACAGTTAGATGGGTGCACGATGTTTCGGCACCGCGACGATTCGGCACTTCATCGCAAAGACGTTTCGGCACCCCGATGTTTCGGCACCGCGACGTTTCGGCACTTTTATATGACGTTTCGGCACCTCGATTTTTTTTCGAAGAAAATAAATCGTTTTTTTTTTCTAAGTCTGTTTTTGTTATCATTTTTACATCATTTTTGGGACATTTTTATTATAAGGTTGAACATTAAATAATATAGTAAAAACTGGTTTGATAATTCATTTATAAGGTGAATTTAGTAAAACTGAATTGCCTTTTTTCAACTTATGTACATGTGTTTGTAAACAAGGCATGTATGGTCTTTCAGATCAATTACACATTTTTAAATGTCAAAGTTATTATAAAATTGTCAACGGAATATATTTTCAATGAGAGTAGAACAAAAAAGGTATACCTAGCACACAGGGTATAATACCGTAATGTGTCAAATTCTTGATGACAGTTGAGGGGGGTAAAGAAAAATTCGAGTAAATTCAATAGTGACAGTGTGTCACTTTTCCCAATACACAAGATATAACGCAAGGTGTCAGAAAATGAGGGGCCTATATGAAGGATTCTACATGATTTCAATGTATCACTTGTTTCCAAACATCACCAGAAGAAAACCAGAAATGACAGGTATGTAGAAATATATATCTATAAATTTATATTGCAATATAATAATGCATAGCTTTAAACTTGATTGTATTTTGCGTTGAAACTTAAAAATAATAAAACGCTTGATTAATTTGAACTGAATATATAAAAATATATATCGTATATTTAAAAAAAAGTATATTTTACGAGTATATATTATCATGCTCAAAGGTATTACATGTATTTTTAAATAAAATAAGATAAATTAATTTGTTGAAAATACGAAGGAAAAAAACCGCTGCGTGGCAATGATATTTTTCTTGATAGAAATATTTAATTATAAGGTTAGACAGTGTACATTAAAAAAAAATAAGATATGATTGTTTATGCATGCGATGAATTATATATAGTACCGTGATTTTCATGAAATACTAAACTCTTTTACTTCCATAGAAATGAATGACATAAATTTACAATTTATCATTGATTACAGTAATATTTTATAGACGTCTGCATCATAATAATGCCATGTGGATTTTTTATTCAAATAATTACAATTTTCTATAAGAGATGAATATAGTGATCATTTATCAAGTGTGCTGCATCCCTATAATCATTAAGTTTTACTGCTTAATTATACGACCTCATGTAGATTTCTGTGAAGTCTGCTGCTGTTAGAATTTATTGCATATACAGTGTAAGTTATCACCTCAATAATTTCCAGTTTCGCAGTAATGTGTTAAGTGATAATTAAAAGCTGAATAGATTGATTAATGCATACAGAAAGGCAGAATTTTGAACTTGTCAAGGTTTCCAAAATATTTTATAAAATATGGTGTGTTCATTATATAGCAAAATAAGTCACATATATATAAATCTTGGCATTTTTTTTTTTTTTTTTTTTTTGCAGGACCGTACGTTCTTACTAGAAATACATGCAATAATTATAATTTAAACAACTAATCCCTAGCATATAAATCATGGAAAGAAATCTTTTTTTAAAATCGAAATACGCATCATAATTTTTCAAAGGATATATCGGAGAACTTGAAAAAAAAATTGTCCGCAAATCCGACATCATTTACGTTACACAACAATTTTGATAACCCATTTATCAAATGGTAATGTTAGAGAAGTTAATGCTTGACTTTATCAAGTCTTGATCTTTTTTGAATAAAGCTGAATTTACCAATTTTTTTTGTTTTGCCTCTGATGTTCAGGATATAGAACGCTAAAGTACGATTCATGAATCCGAAAATGAAGTGAAAATTTCGGATAAAACATATTTGCCTCCCCATATATATAAATATTTTTTGAGAAAACATTGAATGCAAAATCTTTCCCATGATATAAGCTAGGTTCCGTGCTGATTGAAACTTAGTTCTTTTTAAAAATATACATTGGTCCAAAAATTTTAAAACAAAATATCGTTACGGTTTCTTTAGCATAAGATTAAAAAAAACTTCTTAAAACATATATCGCAACCTTTTTGGAACTACATGTACTAGTATTTCAGACTTAGAATTCTACATGTATCTTGAAAGTAAACTGAATTCACAATAATATACGGGTACGCAGTGGAAAAAATTTCCCAACATTACATTAAGTATATTTAAACTCAAAGTTTTTTACAAAAATATATGGATTTGTGATGTTCTCAGTTTATCAAATTTTTACTTTTCAGACAACTGCATCAGCTGCAATACCTTTGTTCGACCAAGGCAGGAGGCACTTCAATGTGACAGATGTCAACACTGGCAGCATCGAACATGCAATACTGGTAAGAATTTAAAGTATTAAATCTAAATTATATGCTGCTGGGATTATCAATTAAAATTCAAAATCTTATAAACCGTAAAATCTAATCAAGGTATAATTCAACATTTTCAGGCATAACCAGAGCTGAGTACAGAAGATTGGTGCACGGCCAAGAAGATTTTGATTGGACTTGCGAAGGTTGTTCCAACAACTCCGAGGTCCCTTCGCAAGATGACGAAGACGATGTTAACAACACATCGGAAGCTCCAGATGCCACTTTCCAAATGTCCCTGACTTCCTTGGTGGATCGGGAGAACACATCGGAACAGGTACATTCAATATTAACGTGATTAAGAATGTAAATGTTAGATTCCAACATTCCACTTGTTCTATGCATTACAGTTTAATTAATCATTTTGAAGCCTTTTATGTTTCTTTTTAAAACAAACTTGAAGAGTTGGTGTACACGAGTTAGGTAGAAAATAATTAATAATTTTAGCACACGGAGGATGAAAGAGAGGAGGAACCAAATGAGGACAACACATCAACAGCCCCAGCAGATGCCACATTTCACATTTCCTTGGGTTCCTTGATTGATCCGGAAGACAGACCTGTGGTGGATCCAGAAAACAGACCTGTGGTGGATCCAGAAAACAGACCTGTGGTGGATCCAGAAGACAGACCTGTGGTGGATCCAGAAGAAAGACCTGTGGTATAATTTCATTTTATATAGTATAAGTATTATAAAAAAATATATGAGTATATAGCAACAATTACTACTAAACCACCTTGCAATAATTTAGATGTTGCATACTATTAAAAGTTCTTGCAATTTTTCAGGTTCTCAGGACAATTGATCATCTCCTGCCAGACAACATCGCTCTCCATGGTTTTGTTGTTGACTTTGAGGCAGCCATTTGGAGAGCAGTGCAGGACAGATTTCCTGGCTTTGTCATACAAGGCTGTGTGTTCCATTGGACCCAGGCCGTGTACAGAAAGGCCCAAGAACTGGGTTTGCAGGTATACACATACATGTATTTTTAAACAAAATTTGTAATGTAACCACAGGGGGTGGTAACACACTTTATTTGATTAATTTACGTAATCACTACATATATATAATCTTTTTGACGTTTTGGTCTACAAATAGTTATTACATAAAATCAAATACAGCATGCTACCGGCATCTGTGATTGTAACAGCAGAAAAAAACATATATAAACAGCTTACACAAAATATCCTTTTCTTAATAATATTCCTTAATTAAGGCATAATAAGAGTTTTTATGTTTTCAAATGTTTATAAATGATACAATATGTGTAATATGAAAATAAATATATCTTTATAGAGAGCTTACAACACCAGAGGAGAGGTGCACGAGTTTATTCGTCAAGTGCTCGCCCTCCCTTTCTTGCCGCCAGAGCACATAGTCGAGACATTCCACCATTTGGATCGGCGTGTACAGACGGACTTGCTTGATTCCCTTATGGAATATGTGTGGCGCCAGTGGCTGAATAACCCCACCTTTCCTGTCAGGAACTGGAGTGTGTTTATGCTCGCCATTCGCACCAACAACGATGTAGAGGGATGGCACAACAGGCTTAACAGCAGAGTTGCACAAAGAGGTCCTGTTCCCTTCTACTTGTTGTTGGTGGAACTACACAAAGAGGCAAAACAGATCCCCCTACAGGCAAAGTTGATCTCCGAAGGGAAGATGGTTCGCATCCATAAGAAAAGGTCAACACATGTAAATGGTAAGCTGTTCGCTGCATGGAAGAAGTATTCGGAGGGGGAAATGACCACCAGTCAGCTTTTGCGGCGTTGTGCCAATGTGTATGGACCAAGCGATTAAACTACGTATGATCCTTTTGGAGATCAATTTATATTTGTTTATATATTTATATACATTGTACCATGCATCTGTATGATAGAGTGCCATGTCAAATACAATGTTTATGTTATAGTATCATTTATTTAAATATTATATGTATATTATGAAGTGGAAAAAAAAACAGAACACATTTGTTTCTTTCTTTTGTGATGATCTGAATTAAATCAATTTCATTTAAATATGACACACTAATCAATCGTTTGTGTTTTCTTTACTTCTTATGAAATAAGTTTTTTTTTAAATCAAGGGAAAATAAATAATCTATCCTTGTTTTGCATGAAATAAATAATCTGGATAGAAATAATGCCAGTCCCCCTAAACTTATACTTCTGACTATGCTATATGTACAGAAAAAAGTTTATAAAAGTCAATTAACGGTTATGAATAAAAAAAAAAAAATCTGAAGCATTTGCTTTAAAAGACAATCACATACTAATTATAAAATATTCCTGTAATTAATGTAATAACCCATGGTAGGATATGTACGTAATTCATAATACCTTTGAGTAACATTAGATTTGTTAAAAATTATAAACAAAACAAGTGCTTGTGATGTTCATGTATGTATATTATCAGATCTAATTAATTTTGGATAACTTGATCGAGGATTCAGTATTTAGATATTTATGAATAACTATCATAAAATGATTACCAGAATGAAAATCAAATCTTTATTTAATCATTCAGTGTTAAAAAAACGTAATTATTCCATTTTACTGTAATACATACCCATTTTAACTTGGCAGCAAAATCCTATCTTTTAGCTCGATTTCCAAGAGTTACTTATATACTATTAATCAGAAAGATGATTTCAAACAGACCTATTTCCTAATAGTAATATACAACCACAAGTTATATGGTGTTAAACTAATTTTTCTCCACAATATAACTCAATATTTAGATAGGTGCCGAAACGTCGCGCTTAAGGTGCCGAAACGTCGTGGTGCCGAAACGTCGCGGTGCCGAAACATCGTCGCAGGTGCCGAATCGTCGCGGTGCCGAAACATCGCGGTGCCGAAAAGTCCAGAATTCAGTTAGATTATTCTAACTAGAAAAATGCTAATTTTTATACCATAATATTATTAAATGCCGTACGCACATGTCATAGTGACTTCGAAAATTGTCAAAATAATATATAATCCCATGTTTCCCTTTTTATCCCGTGGATGTCACTCCTTGAGTATTTTTCGATATCCCATTGATATGATTGCACAATGGGTTGTGTGTGAGAGTGATGAAGTATAAAATAAAATATAATTATGTAAAACATTGATAGTGAGTAAAAAAAAAAATCTGCCTTTGATATGATTTTCATTTAACCCGTGTGTTTTTATACTCGCCAATGCCCAGGGATAAAAACAAAACTGACAAAAATTGTTGGACAAAATTCATTTCATATCCAACTACATGTACATCATGGGAGATTCTCTATGAATTTTATCCCTTTTAAATACTTAGGGGTGTACCATTTATGAATTACATGTCACTGTGCCAATGTCGATATTTAAACGTATAATTGGATATAAAATTGCCTTGTTCTTTAAATATGAATTATTAATTCGAGAAGCAAAATGACAGATCTGGAATGAAGGACGTCAGTTAGAAATTGAAGCAGTTTATAGTAATTAAGAAACTAATCGACGTACCACGCCCTGTATTAATAATAGGGAATACATCGAAATCGTTTCACTTGGCATTAAAAAATTGCTCAATGTATGGATTAAAGCCAAATTACATTGTCCACAACGCCATATATAACTTGATTTTCCGAGTTAGTACATTACGCAATTATCTTCTACATTAAATATCCGTATTTTAACAAAACTGGGAACAATTGATAATAGTTCTTTCTTTCTACATTTTATAACAGAAAGGATTTAATTTTACTGTATTTTTGTGTATCTATAACTTTTAAAAAACTAAAATACCCCACCCCCATTAAAAAAAAATTAGGAATATTTTCTATACTGATATTTTTTTGTATAAATAAATGAACTCATCACTATGCTGTATACGATATCGTATGTATATACATGTGAATTACATAATTTAAATCAATCGAGTTTCAAAGACATCCGAGATTGAAAACAATAGCCGATTTATTTCCGACTCGGCATTAAATATCAGACACAATTTTCAGTCTATTTAACTGTAGAAACGAGGGGATATTAAGTTCAAAATCGGTGAAATTTTTTATTTTAACGTAAATATTGTAAAAAACAAATATCATGTAAATCTACACTTAATCTCGTACTTTTATTTTTTTAGCTCAGAAACTGGCTTTGAATTCTTGGAAAAATACAGCGATGATGAAACACGACGTATGTCAAAAATAAACAACGGTAAGTAATTCTCATGCTGCAGTTGCAACTAAATTTGACACTTAATTACACCTGTTAAACTGATGTTTCAAGTATAATTTTTAAAAATTTTAATAGTACATTGTAATTTTGTCTTTAATTACTATCACAGACAACTCATTTTTATAGTAACGTAGCATCGTTTTGTAAACTAGGTTGAAGGGTGTGTGTGTGTGGGGGGGGGGGGGTAACTTACCTAACATAGAGGACTATAGGCCTTAGAAGTCATCATGCAACAACTTTTCAACCATTGAAGTTGATTTATGTTTTAAACCAGAGGCCATGACATTAACAATTAGCATGGTTAGTTAGGTTACTTAATCCCTAAAGGCAGAGTAAGGGAACAAAAAAATGTAATTCAACTTATCAAAAATATTCAGTAATAATCAGTAGTGCCTCACCCCACAGGAACCGCTGACCTTGGGCCCACATATTTTAACAAAGATATGGTCAAAAATGTAAGTGTAAAAGTGCGGAAATTCCCAGCAAAAATAAAGGAATCGGAATTTCCTGGTAATATGCACATCTACACATTGTCCTAAATATCTGCAAAGTTTGATGAAATTGTGTGCAGCGGTTTATGAGGAGTTGCACTAACAAACTGTTCATCTCTGTATTCAAGATATGGCCAAAAATCTAAGTTTACAAGAGCGGAAATTCCCAGCAAAAATAAAGGAATCTGAATTTCCTGTTAATATGCACATCTACACATTGTCCTAAATATTTGCAAATTTTGATGAAATTGTGTGCAGCGGTTTATGAGGAGTTGCGCCGACAAACTGTTCATCTCCATCATCAAGGTACGAGCAAAAATCTAAGTGTAAAAGTGCGGAAATTCCCGAAAAAAAATAAAGGAAACGGAATTTTGGTAATATGCACATCGATATCTACACATTGTGTCCTAAATATCTGCAAAGTTTGACGAAATTCTGTGCAGCGGTTTATGAGGAGTTGCACTGAAAAAAAAAAAAGCACTGACGGACGGGTCAAAACATTATACCTCACGCAACTTGTTCCGTGGGGTATAATTAATTGAATATCGACGACGTACTGTCAAATAACAATGGTAATTTCCATTTCTATATTGATACAATACATGTATCCTGTTGAGTTTGAGATAAAAGATACCAGAGAGTCTGACACATCTGTTTCATGCTTGAATATTTTACTCGAAAAAGACGGTTGCTTCGTGTTCGGGAGGCTCGGGTTCGATTCTCGTTCGCGGCGCCGCGTCATACCTAAGGCGTAAACATAGGTAGTGACTGACCCTTCGCTAAACGCTCGACATTAGAAGTGAAAGTCACGAGTATTTCGCATATGACCTTAAAAACGTAGATCGCGGTAGGCGTTGAAACGTTAAAGAACTCTCACTGCTCAATGGCCCTGAGTGCCGAGTATAGGTCTAAATTTGAAGCCCTTCACCGGCCAACTTTTCGAAAATCTTTCAGTACCCTTTTTAGCTCACCTGTGCCGAAGGCTCTTCAAAGTGAGCTTTTCTCATTAAAATTTGTCTGTCGTCGTTTTCGTCGTCGTCGCTGTTGTTAACTTTTCACATTTTCATCTTCTTCTCAAACCAAAGGGCCAGTTTCAACCAAACTTGCTACAAAGTATCCTTCGGTAAAGGAGATTCAAGTTTATTCTAATGAAGGGCCACGTCATTTTCCACGGAGAAATAATTATGAATTAGAGAAAAATTAATGGCATTTTTAAAAAATCTTCTTCTCAAGAACCACTGGGCCAGGAAAGATGCAACTCATGTGGAATCATCCTCAGGTAGTGTAAATTCAAATTTGTCCACATCATGACCCCCGGGGGTAGGGTAGGGCCAAAATGGCCGATCAAAGTTTTACATAGGAGTATATAGGAAAAATCTTTTTAAAAAATCTTCTTCTTAAGAATCACTGAGCCAGGAAAGATGAAACTCGTATGGAATCATCCTCAGGTAGTGTAGATTCAAGTTTCTTCAAATCATGACACCCGGGGGTAGGATGAGGCCAAAATGGCCGATCAAAGTTTTACATAGGAATATATAGGAAAAATCTTTTAAAATCTTCTTCTCAAGATTCATAGGGACAGGAAAGATGAAAGTCATGTGAAATTATCCTCAGGTAGTGTAGATTCAAGTTTGTTCAAATCATGACCCTCGGGGGTAGGGTGGGGTTAAAATGGCCGATCAAAGTTTTACGTAGGAATATATAGGGAAATCTTCTAAAATCTTCTTTTCAAGTACTTCAAAGCCATGATTAGTGATATTTATATGGATTCATCCTCAGGTAGTGTAGATTCTAGTTTGTTCAAATCATGACCCAATGGGGGGGGGGGGTTAAAATTCAAGCCCCTTCCCCCCTCAACGTCAGTAAACTTTCAGTTCTCATATGATATGTGCTTTTTCCTAGCCGATGTGCTCAGGTGAGCGATGTGGCCCCTGGGCCTCTTGTTATTAACTAGGTGGCCTTTCAATTAACATCTTCTAAAGTAAATGTAGCTAGTGCCAGCCCCCACCCCCTTCCCGATGTTTAGTACCTTTTTTTATACCCCCCGCTTGAAAAGTGGGAGGGTATACTGTAATCGGGATATCCGTCTGTACGTCCGTCTGTCTGTTATGCTTTGGGGTACCCATCTCTTATCCGCAACTCCTCTTATACCACTGAGTGAAATTTAATGAAACTTTCACAGAAT